TGAAAATATAATTGAAGGTTTATTATATATATAAAGCAAGATGAAATTCTTCTTCCCCCTTTCCCTCCTCCTCCTTTTTGTATTCCATTGTATGAATATACCACAATTTATTTATTCATGCTCCAGGTGATAGGCATTTCAGTTATCTCCAGTCTGAGACACTTATAAATAAAGCTGCTGTGAACATTCTTCTACATGTCTTTTGGTGGACGCATGTATTCATTTCTGTTAGGTATATTCAGTGGCATACCTATAATATTTGATACCTGGAATGGGTCATTTTTAGTGCTCCAAGACCTCTAAACAGTGAAATTATTTTCAGTAATAATAATGAAATGAATAATAATGACAAGATAACCAGTGATTTAAAACTTTTTTTAATCTTTAAATCATTATATATTCATGGAAATTACAAAGATAGCACAGAGGTCCCAAGTACCCCTGCCCCAGTTTCCTCCAATATTTATATCTTACATAACTATAATATAATATTAAACAAAGAATTGACATTGGTACAATATGAATGTATAGTTCCACGCCATTTTATCACATGTATAGATCCAGCTAACCCACCACCACAATTAAGATACAGAACTATTCTGTCACCACAAAGGTCTCCCTGATGCTACCCCCTTTATAGTTGTACCCACCACTCTCAACCCCATCATTCCTAACCTCAGGCAACCACTAATCTCTTCTCCATCTCCGTAATTTCACCATTTTAAGAACAGTGTGTAAATGGAATCATAAAATATGTGCTCTTTTGAGATTGACTTTTTCACTCAATGTAATGCCTTTGAGGTCCATCCAAATTGCTGCATGTATCACTAGTTTGTCCTTTTTATTGCTGAGTAGTATTCCATTGTATGGATATACGTAAGTTTGTGTAAACCATTCACTTATTGAAGGACATTTTGGTTGTTTCTAGTTTTTAGCTATCATAGTCGAATCTGCTACGAACATTTGTGCACAGGTTTTTGTGTTTTTCGTTTCTCTAGGATAATTGCCATATGCTATTGTTGGGTCTTATTTGTATGTTTGTTTTTTTTAAGAAACTGCCAAACTGTTTTCCAGTGTGGCTGTGCCATTTTATATTCCCACCACTAATATGTACAAGATCAAGTTTTTCCACACACTTGTCAGCTTTTGATATTGTCACTATTAGAACGGAAGCGTGTAGTGATATCTCATTGTGGTCTTAATTGGCATTTCCCTAATGGCTGGTGATGTTGAATAACTTTTCATATGCTTATTTGCCATCTGTGTATCCTCTTTGGTGAAATGTCTCTTTGTGTCTTTTGCCCATTTTATAGTTGGATTAGGTATTAATTTTTGGGAGTTCTTTACATATTCTAGCACAGAGACATTTGCAGGATATGGGGTTTGGAAATATTTTTTCCTACTCTGTAGCTTGTTTTTTATCCTCTTAACAGGGTTTTTGATAGAGAGAAAGTTTTTAATTTTGATGAAATACAATTTATCAATACCTCTTTTATGGATCAATACCTCCTTTTTATGGATCATGCTTTTGGTACCTCATGAAATTTATTTTTAAGTGTCCTATATTTATACACAGTTAGTGATTAGACCCCAGATTAAGGTAGGCATTTTTTGGCTTTGTTTTGGAGTGTTTTTATTAAATAAATACCCTAGGATGTGGTCAGAACACTTGAGAGTAGTCCTGCCTCTGTCAATTACTGGCAGACATGATTTAATGAAGTACCAAAGAACTTAAAATCTAGGACCAGACTTCAGGTCTTCAGTCCCAGCTCTACTACATACTGTATTAAATGTATGAACTTATGTAAGATGCTTAACTGCTCTGTGCCTCCATTTCCTCATCTGTAAACCAGGGATAATAATAATAATGAACTTGCAATAGTGTTTGTTGCACTATGTGGCTTGGGAAGATACTTAGGCTCCCTGAGTTTCAATTGCTTTAGCTCTAAAATCGGAATAATACTTGCTGCCCCATCTGAGTTAGAAGGCACTTGTGAGGGTGAAATAAGATTTTATTTGTGAAAGTACCATATAAAGCACTCACAAACAGTAAGTCCCTTTTATCAATGATTGTTATCGTTAAAATAGATATTCTATCTATCTGTAGATAAAAGTGAGCATCCCTAAATCAAGGGTTCCCTAGGTCAAATGAATGGGTGAATCATTAGGGTGGAGGAGGAAAATATTTGATGTATTTTATCTCATCTCTTTTTAATTTTAATTTTTGCATATATTTAATAATTTTATAATATATTTACATAGTAATAATGGCATATAATTTATAAATAATCATTTGTTTGTGGGTGCTAAGAACTTTTCTACTGAAAGTGATACATAATCAAAAAAGTTTGGGGCCAACCCCAGTGGGCTAGTAGTTAAGTTCAGTGCGCTCCACTTCAGTGACCCAGTTTCAGTTCCCTGGTACAGACCTATAACACTCATTTGGCAGTGACCATCCTGTGGTAGTGGCTCACATACAAAGAGAGGAAGATTGGCAGTGGATGTTAGCTCAGGGCGAATCTTCCTCAGCAAAAAAAAAGTTTGAAGACCTACTGATCTAAGGAAATACTTGATATGGGCTCTTCATATACTGTTAATTCAGGCTTTCTTGGCAGCATGCGTCAACTGCCTTACCAATGTTTTTGTACTCTGATTTTTTCTTAAGGAAGGAAATTACCTTAAGGAAATCATCAGAGATAAGTAGAAAGAGCTACATTTAAGAGTGTTCATTGTTGGGCCAGCCCTGTGGCTGAGGGGTTAAGTTTGTGAGCTCCCCTTTGGCAGTCCAGGGTTTCTCTGGTTCGGATCCTGGGGGTGGACCTATCACCGCTCATCAAGCCATGCTGAGGCAGCATCCCACGTAGTACAACTAGAAGGACCCACAACTACAATATACAACTATGAACTGGGTGGCTTTGGGGAGAAGAAGAAGAAAAAAAACGATTGGCAACAGCCGTTAGCTCAGGTGCCAATTTTGAAAGAAAGAAAAAAAAAGAATGCTCATTGCAACATTATAATAAAAGAAGTAACCTGTATGTTCATCAAATAGGGAAATGTTTAAATAAACTGTGATTTATAGGTTCCAGCCTATGTTGCACAGCTTGGCAAGCTGTAATAAAGTTTTAAAGTTAGAAATTATTTCAAGGAATTTTTCGTGACGAAACATTCCCAATATAATGTTAGGTGGAAAAGTTAAGATACAAGGAGATACAGATATAGGTATGCAGAATGACTTCAACTCTAATAAAAATGTACATACATAAGACCGGAAAGAAACACATTACCATGCTAATAGTGGTTATCTCTTGGTAGTAGGATTAAGTGTTATTTTTAGTGTTTTCATACTTCTCTATATTTTCCAGTTTTCCTGCAATGATCATGTATTAGTTTTGTACTTAGGAAGAAAGAATTTTTTTAAAAAGAAAAAATATCATAAGCCATACTTGTTATTCTTAGGCTTCAGATTTTTAATTAATTGAATAACTTTGTAGGAGTATGAATCACAGGATTGGGAAGGACTTTAATAAGTTATCATGGCCAGTTTTGAGAATTTCACTGATCACTTTCAGGCAGATGAATTCATTTTTCAATGTTAAAGTGTATTTTGTTTTTTTGGTAATCTAGCAATTTCGGCTTGTTATCTTTTTAAGCCTTCCACAGAATATGGATAACTGCTGGTTATCACTTATGTTGCTAATCAGTATGATTATGTATCAGTTAAACCAACAATTATTTATTGGGCATTGGGTAGGTAGTATGGGACATATATTCCTGAAATATATTCCTGAGTCCCAGCCCTCAAAGAGATTCCAGTTTAGTTAGGGAAATGAGACTAATCCTTGTCAAATGGTGAACAATACTCAACAGTATTTGACAAATGTCAATTTGTGTGGTATTGGCCACTCTTGCAATAAGACTTTAGACATCCTTTCTTTCAATCTTAGCAAGTCAAACTTCTTCAAAAGTTCTTTATTGAGCCCATTCTCCAAACTTCAGCTTCTTGGTGCAGAATTTGATTTAGAAACCAGGAAGACTTGATGTTTATAAACAGTGCCTTCAGTCAGAGGTTCTCAAACTTGGCTGTCTGCCCAAATCTCCTGAGGTGCTCCGGAAGAACACAGATGCCTGCATCCTACCTCTGGATATTCTGATTTAACAAGTCTCATCTGAGAAGGAGGGAGGGAAAAGGAGAGAGGGGGACTTTGAAAATATCCCTGAGTAATTCTAAAGTATAGACAGTGTTGAATATCACAGCTCTTAAATTAAAAATGGGCTCAATGAAGAACTTTTGAAGAAATTTGAATGACTAAGACTGAAAGAAAGGACAAGGTCTAAACACTTTCTGAAAAAGCATTTCTTCTTTAATGGTGACATGAACTTGGGTATGAAAGGCAACAACAGGGCTGTTTTTACGACCCTGGCAGAAACCCCTTCAGTGGACTTGTGCCCTGTGAGGAATCAGGGCAATGGGGGAGCCTCACTATAATATGCTGACTCTACCCTTGGATCTTTCCTTGGACATGCATGTGGGCTATCTTCCTACCAAAGCCTTAATCCTCTTGCAATATTGCAGGGACCCGTCCCTCTTCTATTTCCTCTATCCCTCTGTTTCCTCTAATAGTCATCATTTATTGAGCTTCTGTTATCTACCAGGTGTTTACATCCATTACCTCTGATCCTTACCAGAACCTTGAAAGACAGTTCTTTTACCGATGAAGAGACAAAACAGGCTCAGACAGGGCAAGTTTTTGATCCGAGGTCACAAAAAAAATGTCAAAACTAGGTGTGAAAGCCTGCTCTGCCTGACTCCAGTGCCTATTTTTTGTCTGTGACATCATGGTGCCTGCCTCCCTGCTGCTCCCTCACATGTTTCCTCTGCTCAGATGGCCTACATGCTGGTCTTTTACTTTTCTTACTTCAGTGTCTGTGCAGATATGTGCTTAAATAGAGCGGTGTCTCCTGAAAGGCTGGGTTTTGCCTTTTTAAAATTCTCCTTTCAGGGAACGCTGTGAGGAGCTCCGTGTTGAGTTGTCTTGTATCCATGAGAAGAAGGTGTGCGAGGAGCGGAAAGCACAGGTTGCATTTAATGAGGAGCTGAAAAGGCAAAAACTGGTGGAAGAACAGATGTTCTCAAAGCTCTGGGAGGAAGACCGATTAGCCAAGGAAAAGCGAGAAGCCGAAGAGGCAAGGAGACAGAAAGAGCTGGTGGAGAACACGCGCCTGGGGCTGAATGCCCAGATCACCAGCATCAAGGCGCAAAGGCAGGCAGAGCAACGACTGAAGGAAGAAGAGGCGCGCCTTGTGGTGGGTCTTTTAAAATGCTTGTCACAGGATTATCCGCTCAGTGGGTATACTGCGTAGTTTGTAGGCCTGTGACTGTACAGTTTGTCTGATGGGCCTGGGCTGGTTCACAGGGCGACAGACCGTGGTCAGAGCCTTGGATTTCAAGGCCCAGCTAACAGTGCCGTCTCCTTGTATAGGGGACTGCTGTGACTCAGTTTCTTTATCTGAAAAATGAGGCAAAAGAGCGCTTGTCTTTGTTGTGAGGATGAAATGGGGTAATCATTAGCAATGCCGTGGAAGGCTAGTGGCAATTTGGCAACATCCCCCCATTCTTTGATATGGATAATTGGCAGTTTCCAAACCATATGTAAAGTGCTGTACAACAGCTACAGTGATCTCCTGGCCACCAACATCAATAATTTCTTTCCAACAAGATTGTAGCCCCTGCTGTACAGAAATTAGAGCTGTCACTGGAAATGCATGAAAGCATCAGAAAAGTAGCAATTTTATATGTATATAAAAAAGCTTTCAGAACTGGTACTTCAACACCATTAAATTTAGGAAAAAAGGTATTATTTTCCTGGGAAAACTCAAGTATTGAAATTTGGAACCATAAGAAATGTCAAAGGTAAGGTATTTCAGAGCTCTAGAAGCCTTCTCTGGGTTTTTGTTTTTTTTTTTAAAGATTTTATTTTTTTCCTTTTTCTCCCCAAAGCCCCCCGGTACATAGTTGTATATTCTTCGTTGTGGGTCCTTCTAGTTGTGGCATTTGGGACGCTGCCTCAGCATGGTTTGATATGCCATGTCCGCACCCAGGATTCGAACCAACGAAACACTGGGCCGCCTGCAGCAGAGCGCGCGAACTTAACCACTCAGCCACAGGGCCAGCCCCATTCTCTGGGTTTGAGACGTTTCTTTTGAAGAGTTTACTAGACGATGCTAAATATTTTAGCTTCTCTAAGAAAATCAAAATACTGGGCCCCAAACTGCCTTATATATGTGCATCCTCTGGTGTAAGATACGTAGTGAGCCATTTTTACTCACAACACTTCTGACATCAAATGTGTGGGGGTTTTTCCTCACACTAAACAATTCTCTGATTCTCTGTGGACACCAGCTAGGTGTCCTCCAATTCAATTCAGTTCTGACACTAACTGGAAATAGCATCAGACTCCACAGGTATAAGGTCTCAGTCCCGCAACACTGCCTCCACTTCAGATGCCAGTTTCAAGTAGTGGGTCCCCAGGTTACCTACACTTCTGTTCAACTTGACTATAAAGTCAGAGGTTCTCATGACTCCCCTTCGCTATTTTCTTTTTTGAGGAAGATTAGCCCTGAGCTAACATCTGCTGCAATCCTCCTCTTTTTGCTGAGGAAGACTGGCCCTGAGCTAACACCCATGCCTATCGTCCTCTACATTATATGTGGGACTTCTGCCACAGCATGGCTTGCCAAGCAGTGCATAGGTCCACACCCGGGATTCGAACCAGTGAACCCTGGGCCGCCAAAGCAGAATGTGCGAACTTAACCGCTGTGCCACTGGGCAGGACCCTCCCCTTCACTTTTAATAGTTCACTAAAATAACTCAGTGGACTCAGGAAAGTGCTTTACTTACTATTACCAGTTTATTATAAAGGATACAACTTAGGAACAGCCAAACGGAAGAGATGCATATGGCAAGGTATGGGAGACGATACACAGAGCTTCCATGCCCTCTCTGGGCACACCGTATTCTCAATACCTTGATGTGTTCACCAACCCAGCTCTCTGAACCCTGTTATTTGAGGGTTTTTATGGCGGTGTCATTATGTAGGCATGATTGACTAAATCCTAGGCCATTGGTGATTGAACTCAATCTCTAGCCCCTCTCTCTGCCCTGGAAGTTGATGGGTGGAGCTGAAAGTTCCAACTCTCTAATCACATAGTTTGGTCTTTCTGGTTACCAGCCCCCATGCTGAAGCTATCTCGGGAAGCCAGCCACTAGTCATCTCATTAGGATACAAAAGAAAGTCTTACCACTTTGGAGATTCCAAGGGTTTTAGGAACTATGTGCCAGGAATGGGGGACAAAGACCAAATATTTATTTTTTATTGTACTACACTTAGCTATCTCTATTTCTACCTTCCTTTAAAAAATTTGTTTTGAAAATTTTTTTGGAAATAATTTTAGACTCACAAGAAGTTGCAAAAAATAGTAAAGAGTTCCTGTGTACCATTATATAACCAAAGATTATATGTATGTTTATATATATTATAACTATAAAAGCCAGGAAATTAACATTGTTGTAGTACTTTCAACTAAAGTTTTTCCTTATTCAACTAAATTAAACCTTCTTTGGATTTCATCAGTTTTTGCATGCACTCTTTGGGGGAGAAAGGGTAATAGTTCTGTGAAATTTTATCAGATATATAGATTTATGTAACCACTACCAAAATCAAGATACAGAACTGTTCCATCATCCAAAGAAACTCCTTCCAGCTACTCTTTTATAGTTAAAACCTCCCTCAACCCTAACCCCTGGCAGTCACTGATAGATTATTTATCCCTATTATTTTGTAATTTTTGAGAATTTGTGTGAATTCCACCCTTTTTAATGTTTTATTATGAACATTTTCAAATGCATGGAAGTGGAGAATACAGTTGCAAAGAGTTCCTCGACCCAATTCTAATGTGTGTGTGTAGGCTTCCCCACACCGACAAGCAGTTCCAGATGCCAGCAGGGTGTTGGAGAATTCAACTCAATTCTGACAGTCTCCCCAGAGATAGAATCAGATTCCACAGGTAAAGAGCTCAGTTGCACAAGACTGCTCTCCACTTCGGATGCCAGCCACAAGCCCAGGTTGTTATCTGCGCTTCTGACTGACCTGCTGTAAACTGGAGGTTCCAACAACCCTCTCCAACTGAGGATGCCAGTCTCAAGTCCAGGTTGTTGCCTGTACTTCTGACTGACTGGCTATAAGTCAAAGGTTCCCACGACCCCCTCCTTGGGTTCAATTAATTTGCTAGAATAGCTCACAGAAGTCAAGAAAACCTATTTACTTACTAGATTACCAATTTATTACAAAGGATATTAAAGGATATGAATCAACAGCTAGATGAAAGGATACACAGGGTGAGGTCCCGAGCCAAGGAGTTTCTGTCCTTGTAGAGCTTGGGGCTTGGCACAGTGGCAGTGGAAGTGTTCTGGTTCCCCAAACTAGAAGCTCTCCAAAAAAGGGCCAATGAGCTGTCCTTTTAGGTTGTTATGGAGGCTTCATTACCTAGTCATGATTAAGTTACCGGCCATTGAGTGGGACTCAGAGGTGCAATCCTCTGATCACATGACTGGGTCTCCTGGCAACCAGCCCTCAGCCTTGGAGGGATGGGAGTCAGAAAGTGAGCACAGAAGCTCCTATTGCTCTTACCACTCAGGAAATTCTGAGAGTTTTGGGAGCCATGAGCCAGGAACTGTGGATAAAGACCAAATATATCTGAGAAATGTATTTTGGTCATCTGAATGACCAAATATATATTTCTTATAAATCACAGTAATATAACAATGACCCCCATGTACCATCTCCCAGTTTCAGTAGCCGTTATATTTGCTGTACTGGTTTCCTATATCCTCCCTACTCGCTCTGTTTTCATGTTTTTAAAAAAATCCAAGATATGTCACTTCTTCCTTAATTACATCTCAAGTATGCATCTCAACAACAACATAATTAAGAACATTTTCTTATACAATGCCAATATCATACCTGAGGAAAAAAATAATAATTCCTTTTTATCATCTAAAATCAGCATTAAATTTCCATCATTGTCTAAATTATTTGACACTTAAATCAGAATCCAAACATGGTTGTTTTAAGTCTCTTTTAGAAAGAGTGACTGTTTATTATTCAAACCAGGGAACATTTGAGATAGAAAGGGTGCAATAAATTCATTACCTGAGCACAACAGGTGTAAAATCAGAACTATGCTGGTGAAGCCAAGACATGGTAAACTAGTTTTAGGTCTCTTACTCTTGAACAGCTCTCCCCCATCTCATCCCTACCATCTCATAGTCTGGATTTGGCTGATTGCTTCCTCCTGGTGTAGTCAACCTTACTTTTAAAAAAGTGTAACCTGCTATTCCACTGGCTTTCGTGTTTGATGCCCATTGCTTTTCCTTAGATACAGCAGAGCATTTTCACTTTATCTCATTTGACTTTCAAAATTCAGTGTGGATTTACTGCTCATGGCATTAATGGAAAAGTGTAGCATATAATTCCCCTCTCACAAATCAGTAATCGTAGTAATCATGCCTGTTGTGAGTCTTGGTTAAATCAAGTCAAATTGGGAATTGTGTCCCATCCTCACTATTGCTACATCATCTCCTGTCCCAGCTGGGCAAGTACTTATCCCTCCAGGGGAGTTCAGCTGTCTCTGGCAGGAGGACTGATGCCTGTTTATAACATACCCAGATTTTCTACCAAACCTACAATGCCTAACTGCGTTGCTGCTCCAGTTAAAACTGCTTGACTGGCCAGGCAATTAAGACAGCCAAGAGGGTCAGAAAGATAAGAAAATGAGAGCAATGAGAATACTTTTATTTATTTTTATTTTTAACTGAGCTAACTACTGCCAATCCTCCTCTTTTTGCTGAGGAAGACTGGCCCTGAGCTAACATCCATGCCCATCTTCCTCTACTTTATATGTGGGATGCCTACCATAGCATGGCTTTTTGCCAAGCGGTGCCATGTCCACACCCGGGATCTGAACCGGTGAACCCCAGGCTGCCAAGAAGCGGAATGTGCGAAATTAACTGCTGTGCCACCAGGCCAGCCCCGAGAGAATACTTTTAAAGAACAAAATGCCTAAAATTTAATTTTCTATATTTAGCTGATGTGCACATTTCCATTTTTGGACTCTTATTGCTGCTTAATAATGTATCCAAATCTAGATGTGCATAGAAGAGGAAAGTCTAAAAGGCCAATACACGGAAATGTTGACAGTGGTGGTGGGTGATGGGTACTAGGATTAAAGGTGATTTCTCTTTATACTTTTATGCATTTTGAACTCCAAAACTATTACTGTGTAATCAAACACACACACATACGCACAGCAATTTCACAAAGCCTTGTTGCTAACTCAGCAATGAAAAGACAAATTTTATTTCTTATAGTCCCTCTAAATCCAGGTGTATTTCCAAGAAACCCTTTATTCTCATCTGCTAAATGTATTAACTTGTTTGTTTTGTTGGACTGTACTGATGCATGATCTTCATTATTGTTCTACCTTAGGAAAAGGACAAAGCACAGGTGAAACTTGAGAATGAACAGGATAAGCTAAAGACACAGAAGACAAAAAGGGAAATTAAGACTGCTTTGCAAAAAGCCCTCCAAGAGAAGATAGAGAAAATTCAGCAGGGTTACAGAGAAGAGCAGGACTTGGACATGAAGCTTGTGCAAATGGCCCTTCAAGACTTACAGGAAGAGGCTGATAAAAAGAAGCAAAAAAGAGTAAGACATTTTTTCGGTGCCTGCTTTGTGCTGAAAGGAGATTCCTTGTTGAGCTCTCAGTCTTACAGAAGCCAGCATCTTGTAGAATGAACTATAATAGTGCTACTATAAGTGTGGTCCACAAACCCACAGCATCAACATCAGCTGGGATGGTGTTAGAAATAGAAATTCATAGGCTCCAAATCAGAATCTCCAAATCCAAATCTTGGCAAGGGCAAGAAATTTGTATTTTAACAAACTCCCCCAGGTGATTCTGATGCTCACTGAATTTTGAGAACTCCTGTTCTATAACATGGCCTTAGCACTGTGATGACAGTTTGGGATTGCAGGAAATGGAGTGATTAAGTATGCCTGGAGTTGGGGAAGACATCACTAAGAAAGTGGTATTTGGGCTGCACCTTGAAGGATATGTATAGTTTTGTCAGGCAAAGAGAGTAAGGTATTCCAATATTTATTTAGCTGTCTGTTCCTTTGAAATTTGTATTGAACTCTTAAGGGTGTTGTGCTTTTCCTATAAGTACTATTTTTTTTCATAGACTTTATGTTTTAGGGCAGTTTTAGATTCACAGCAATATTGAGAGAAGATAAAGAAATTTCCTACATGCCTCCTGCCCTGACACATGCATAGCCTCCCCCTTTATCAACATTCCCTGCCATCAGAGTGGTACATTTGTTACAATTGATGAACCTACATCGATACCTCATTATCACCCAAAGTCCATAGTTTACATTACAGTTCACTCTTGGTCTTGTACATTCTATGGGTTTGAACAAATGTATAATGACATGTATCCACCAAGAGAGTATTATACAGAGTAATTTCAGTGCCCTAAAAATCCTCTGTGCTCCACATGTTCATCCCTCCCCTCACCCCCAATCCTTGGAAACTATTGATATTTTTCCTGTCTCCGTAGTTTTGCCTTTTCCAGACTGTCATATAGTTGGAGTCAGGTAGTAAGTAGGCTTTTCAGATTGGCTTCTTTCATTTTTCAAAATGCATGTTACATTTAAGTTTCCTCCATATCTTTTCATGGCTTAATAGTTCATTTCCTTTTAGCACTGAATAACATTCCATTGTGTGGACGTACCATAGTTTATTTATCCATTGCCTACTGAAGGACATCCTTGGTTGCCTCCAACTTTTAGTGATTATGAATAAAGTTGCTGTAGACCTCCGTCTGCAGGTTTTGTGTGAACATAAAAATCTGGGTAAATACCAAGGAGCTTGATTATTGGATCATACAGTAAGAGTATGTTTAGTTTTGTAAGAAACTGACAAACTATCTTCCAAAGTGGCTGTACTATTTTGCATTCCCACCAGCAATGAATGAGAGTTCCTATTGCTCCACGTCTTTGCCAGCATTTGGTGTTGTCAGTGTTCTGGACTTTGGCCATTCTAATAGGTGTGTAGTGGTATCTCATTATTATTTTAATTTGCATTTCCCTAATGACATATGGTGTGGAGCATAAGGGTTCTGAGCCCAATTCCAATGTATGGAGGGGGGTTTTCCCCCTATACCACCAAGCAATGCTCAGGACACCAGCTGAGTGTCCTACAATTCAACTTAATTCTATCGCTATTTACCTGGAGATAGCATCAGATTCCACAGGGAAAGGGTTCAGTCCCACAAGACCTCCCTCCACTTCAGATGCCAGTCACAAGCCCAAGTTGTTACCTGGGCTTCTGACTGAAGGGCTACAAATTGGAGTTTCCAACGACCTTCTCCACCTCAGGATACTAATGACAAGTCAGCTTGTTACCTGTACTTCTGACCGACTGGCTATAAATCACAGGTTTCCATGACCCCCTCCTTGGGTTCAATTAATTTGCTAGAGTACCTCAAAGAACTCAGGAAACTCATTTACTCACTACATTGCCAGTTGATTACAAATGATGTTAAAGGATATGAATTAACAGCCAGATGAAGAGATACAGAACATGAGGTCCTGAGCAGAGGATCTTCTGTCTTCATGAAGTTTGGGGCCCGGCACAGTGGCACATGGAAGTGTTCTGGTTCCCCAACCTGAAAGCTCTCTGAACCCTCTCCTTTTGGATTTTTATGGAGGCTTCATTACATGGGCACGAGTGATTAAATCATTGGTCATGGGTGATTGATTCAACTTCCAGCTCCTCTCCCTACCCTAGAGGTCAGAGAGGTGGGACTGAAACTTCCAACCCTCTAATCACATAGTTGATTCTCCTGACAACCAGCCTCCAACCTTAACTGGGTTGTTTCTTTTCTTATTGTTGTCTTTTAAGAGTTCTTTGTATGTTTTAGATAACAGTCCTTTATCAGATATAGCTTTTGAAAATATTTTCTCCTAATCTGTGGCTTGTCTTATTCTCTTGACAGAGTCTTTCAAAGAGTAAAGATTTTTTATTTTAATGAAGTCTGGCTTATCAATTTTCTTTCACGAATTGTGCCTTTTGTGTTGTATCTAAAAAGTTATCGCCAAATCCAAGGTCTTCTAGATTTTCTCCTATGTTATCTTCTAGGTCTTTTATAATTTTGTGTTTTACATTTAGGTCTGTGATCCATTTTGAGTTAATTTTCATAAAGAGTCTAAAGTCTGTGTCTAGATTTTTTTTTTTTGCATGTGGATGTCCAGTTGTTCCAGCACCATTTGCTGAAGAGACTCTTAGTTTTATTGTGTTGCTTTGTTCCCTTGTCAAAGATCAGTTGACTATATTTATATGGATCTATTTCTGGGCTCTCTATTCTTTTCAGTTGATCTATTTGTCTATTCTTTCACCAATGTCATACAGTCTTGATTACTGGAGCTTCATAGTAAGACTTGAAGTTGGATAGTGTCAGTCCTCTGACTTTGTTCTTGTCTTTCAATATTGAGTTGGCTATTCTCGGTCTTTTGCCTCTCCATATAAACTTTAGAATCAGTTTGTCAATAACCACAAAATAACTTGCTGGGACTTTGATTGAGATTACATTGAATCTAAAGATCAAGATGGGGAGAACTGACATCTTGACAGTATTGAGTCTTCCTATTCATTAACATGGAATATCTCTCTATTTATGTAGTTCTTTGACTTTTTTAATCAGAATTTTGTATTTTTCCTCATATAGATCTTGTACATATTTTGTTAGATTTATACCTATGTATTTCATTTTTTGGGGTGCTAATGTAAATGGTATTGTGTTTTTAATGTCGAATACCACTTGTTCATTGCTGGTATTTAGGAAAGCAATTAACTTTTGTTTATTAACCTTGTATCCTGTAACCTTGCCTATACTTATTAATTCAAGCAGATTTCATTGGTTCTTTCAGATTTTCTACATAGGCCATCATGTTATCTGTGAACAAAGACAGTTTTATTTTTCTTCCCAATCAATATACTTTTTATTTCCTTTTCTTGTCTTATTGCATTAGGTAGGACTTGTAGTACAATGTTAAAAATGAGTGCCGAAAGAGGACTTCCTTGCTTTGTTCCTGAGTTTAGTGGGAAAGTGGCTAGTTTCTCACCATTAAGTGTGATATTAGTTGTAGGTTTTTGTAGATGTTTTTATCAAGTTGAGGAAGTTCCTCTCTATTCCTGGTTTACTGAGAGTTTTTAACATGAATTTATGTTGGATTTTATCAAATTTTTTTTGTATCTATTGATGTGATCATATGATTTTTCTTCTTTAGTCTGCTGATGTGATGGATTATATTAAGTGATTTTTAAATGTTGAACCAGCCTTGTATACCTGGAATAAATCCTACTGGGTTGTGGTGTATACATTGTTGGATTTGATTTACTAATACTTTGTTGAGGATTTTTACATCTATGTTCATGAGAGATACTAACGTATAGTTCTATTTTCTTGTAATGTCTTTGGTTTTTGTATTAGGATAGTTCTGGCTTCATATAATGAGTTAAGAAGTATTCCTTCTGTTTCTGTCTTGTTAAAGAGATTGTAGAGAATTGGCATAATTTCTTAAATGTTCAGTAGAATTCGCCAGTGAACTCATCTAGGCCTGGTGATTTCTGTTTCAGAAGATTATTAATTATTAATTCAGTTTTTAAAGTAATAGACATATGCCTATTCAGATTGTCGCTTTCTTGTGTGAATGTTGGCAGATTGTTTCTTTCAAAGAATTGGTCCATTTTCTCTAGGTTATCAAATTTGTGGGCACAGAGTAGTTCATAGTGTTTCTTTCTTATCCTTTTAATGTCTGTAGGGTCTATAGTGGTGTCTTCTCCTTCTATATCGTTCGTGCTGGTGCCTTTGGGTTTGGACTCTCCCTCGTCATTGGAAGCTTTGATTATGGTATTTCCCTTTTCCCACATGGAAGGCTAGAGGGGGCCCAGAGTTGGATATTTCCCTTCTCCTGGGTCAGTTAGGTTCTGATAGAAGCCCAGCATGTTAGACTCTGGTTAAATCGTGTCTCCTAAGGGCAAACCTTGTTAAGAAGAATAGAATGCTCTGGTGTATTTCAAAATGGTTCCTTTCCCCCTCCCTCAGCTGGAAGCATTGGGGGATTTTTCTCTGATATTCACTGTGAGAACCTGGTAAAAACTCAGGAAGTAAAACTTGCAAAAGTGTGGGGGCTCCCATGACTGGGTCCTCTTAGAGTTTTTAACTCTTAGAGTCTGGGTCCCCTTAAACTCGCTGAGCCTCTAGCAAGTCATCTATTACAGATGAGGTCGTTCTATCCCAGCACTGCTTCCTATGGAAGTTTCTGCTCATGGGTTTCAGCTACGGTGAGTTGTGATTCTCTGTATTCACCTGTCTGTCTCTCCAATTTAGGGGGCAGTGGTTTGCCCTGTGCCCTCACTTCTCTTCTGGATCTAAGATTAGCTGTGGGCTTTTCAGTTTGTTGAGCTTTTTACTTAGGATAGAGTGGCAACTTCTAAGCTCCTTACATACCAGACTGGAAACCAGAAGTCTGCTACTGTGTTCTTTAATTAAACTTTTATTTTGAGATAATTGTAGATTCACGTGCAGTTGTAAGAAATAATACAGAGAGATCCCATGTACCTTTTACTCAGTTTCTCTCAATGATAACATCTTGCAAACTCTAGTGCAATGTCACAGCCAGGATATTGACATTGACACAGTCAAGATACAGAACATTTCCATCACCACTAGGATCCTTCACATTTCCCTTTTATAGCCACACCAACTTCCCTCTTGTCCCCACCCTTGGCAACCACTAGCCTGTTCTCCATTTCTATAATTTTGTCATTTCAAAATGTTATATAAATGGAACCATATAGTATATAACCTTTTGGGATTGACATTTTTCATTCAGCATAACTCTCTGGAGATATATCCAGATTGTTGTATGTGTCAGTAGTTCTTTTTATTGTTTATTGCACCACAGTCTGTTTTCACTATTTACCTCTTAGAGGTCATCTGGGTTGTTTTCAGTTTAATGGCTGTTATAAGTAAAGCTGCTATAATCATTCGTGTATAGGTTTTTGTGTGAACACAAATTTTTGTTTCTCTGGGAAAAATGCCCAGAAGGGCAATTGTTAGGTCATTGTTTAGTTTTTCTTCAAGAAACTGCCAAACTGTTTTTCAGAGTAGCTACTACTATTCCACCAAAAATGTTCATTCCCACCAAGAAAGTATGAGTGATCCAGTTTCTCCACATCCTCACCAGCGTTTGGTGGTGTCACTATTTTTTGCTTTAGCCATTCTGATAGCTGCGTAGTGATATCTCATTGTGTTTTTAGTTTGCATTTCTATAACAGCTAATGATGTTGACCAACTTTTCATGTGCTTATTTGCCGTCTGTATAGTCTCTTCAGTGAAATGTTTCCTCATGTCTTTTGCCCATTTTCTAGTTGGATTGTTTGATTTTCTTTCTTTTTTTGTTACTGAGTTTTTCTCGGTTGGATTGCTTTTGTTTATTTTTTAACAGCTTCATTAAGGTAGAATTCATATAACATACAATTTATCCATTTAAAATGTACTTTCAGTGGCTTTTAGTATATTCACAGATATGGGCAATCATCACCACAGTCAATTTTAGAACTTTTTCATGATCTTGCTTATCCCTCTTTCCCACTGCCAACCCCTAGTCCTAAGCAACTACTAATATACTTTCTGTCTCTATGGATTCCCTATTCTAGACGTTCCTATGAATGGAATCATATATTATGTGACCTTTTGACTGGTTTCTTTCACTTAGCATAATGTTTCAAGGCTTATCCATGAATACTTCATTCCTTTGTATGACTGAATATGTTCCATTGTATGGATATACCATATTTTGTTTATCCATTTGTCAGTTGATGGACATTTGAGTTGTTTCCACTTTTGGGCTATTATGGATGATGCTACTCTGAACATTCATGTTTAAATTTTTGTTTGGCCATATGTTTTTGTTTCTCTTGAGCAAGTACCTAGGACTGGAATTATTGAGTACCAGGGTAACTCTATGTTTAAGCTTTTGAGTATTTGCCAAATTGTTTTCCAAAGTGGCTTCACCATTTTACATTCCCACTAGCAGTGTGTGAGGGGTCTGATTTCTCCACATGCTTGTTAACACTTGCTATTATTTGTCTTTTTTATTTTAACCATCCTAGTGTGTCTGAAGTGATATGTGATTGTGGTTTTGATTTGCATTTCCCTAATGGCTAATGATGTTGAGCCTCTTCTTTTCCTTTGCTTGTTTGGCCATTTATATATCTTCCTTGGAGAAATCTATTAGCAGTCTATTCAAGTCATTTGCCCAATTTTTGATTGGGTTGTCTTTTTATTATTGAGTTGTCAGAGTTCTTTATATGTGCTAGATACAAATCTCTTATCATAAGTGATTTGTAAGTAGTTTTCTCATTCTATGGCTTGTCTTTTTACTTTCTTGATGGTGTCCCTTGAAGCACAAAAGTATTTAATTTTGACAATGTCCAATTTACCTATATTTTCTTTTGTTGCTTGTGCTTTTGATATCATATCTAAAAAACCGTTCCTACTCCAAAGTCAGGAAGATGTAGTCCTATGTTTTCTTCTTCGAGTTTTATAATTTTAGCTCTTAATTTTAGGCCTTTTGATCCATTTTGAGTTACATTTTGTATATGGTGTGATGTAGAGGTCCAGCTTCATTCTTTTGCACGTGGATATCTGGTTGTCCTAGCACCATTTGTTGAAGAGACTGTTCTCCCCTATTGAATTGTCTTGGGACCCTTGTCAAAAATCAATGACAGTAAATGTGTGGGTTTATTTCTGGACTCTGAATTCTATTCTGTTAACCTATAGCTCTCTCTTTAGGCCAGTATCACATATCTATATGTCTCGATCACTGTAACTTTGTAGTAAGTTTGAAATCAGGAAATGTGAATCCTCCAACATTGTTCTTATTTTTCAGATTGTTTTGATTGCTCTGGCTCCCTTGTATTTCCATATGAATTTGGGATCAGCTTGTTGATTTTTGCAAAGAAGGCAATTGGGATTTTGATAGAGATTGTTTTGAATCTGTAGACCAATTTGGGGACAATTGCTATTTTAATAATATTGTCTTCTGATCTGTGAACATAGAATGTCTTTCCATTTATTTTGGTTTTCTTTAATTTCTTTCAAAAATGTTTCTTAGTTTTCAGAGTGTACGTTTTTTGGGGTATTTTTTTTGGTGAGGAAGATTAGCCCTGAGTCTGTGCCAATCTTCCTCTGTTTTTTATGTGGGATGCCCCCACAGCATGGCTGATGAGTGGAGTAGGTCTGCGCCCAAGATCCGAACCCGTGAATCTGGGCTGCTGAAGTGGAATGCACAGAACTTTAACCACTTGGCCATGGGGCTGGCCTGCCAGAGTATAAGTTTTGCACTTCTTTTGTTAATTTTTTTCGTAAGTAAGTATGAAACTATGTATATAAGCCTTTCTGAGGGTGCAGCTACACCCTCAGACCTTTCTAGTCCTACCTCAGATCTATGATATTCTCGAAAGAGATCAGATCAGAGATTGGATGAACTAGCACAAATATAATACTATGAAAGACAGAGAAGCCAATTGAAAATGCCTGCATTATAAAGCCCAGTTCCCGCCCTTTGCTGCACATTAAAATCACCTGGGGAACTTAAAGGCTGCCCACTAGATAGGAATCTCTGGGGGTGAGACTCAGCCCTTAATGGTTTTTAAAGCTCCCCAGGTGATTTCAAAGTGTAGCTAAGATTGAGAATTGCTATTATAAAGTATGAGGTGATTCATCTTTCAGTCAGAGACAGTGCTATAATAATAGTATTGACTTACTTTGTTTATCAGGTTAAGATTTCATCCATCCAGATGAAAATAAATGAAAATAAAGCCGTATAGTTGAAAATTATTTGAGAATCGCGTCGACAAACACTTTGGGAAAGTGTTTGAGTTAACTTATTAAAAAATGTATTATAAAACATTTCAAACAGATACAGAGAATAAAAAAAGTGAACCCACCTGTGTCCATCACTTAGTTTCAACAAACATCAACTAATGGCCATTCCTGTTTCATCTACCCCCACGCATTCCCCACCACCACCCCTGAATATGTTAAAGTAAACTCTGGACATAATATTTTATTTGTGAATGTTTCAGTATGTAGCTCTAAAAGATTGGGATTGTAGCTCTAAAAGATTGTCTTTAAACTTATCTTCAATATCATTATCACACCTAAACATTTTAACGTGGGGTAATTTTTATGTTATGAAGGAAGAGATGGTAAGAGAACAGAAGATATATCGTCAATATCTGGCACAGCGGCGTGAGGAAGACAAAGCTCAGGAGAAAGAATTGGACAGAATATTGGAGGAAGAGGAGAAGAAGAAGTTGGCTGAGAAGGACAAGGAGCTAAGACTTGAAAAGGAGGCAAGGAAACAACTTGTGAATGAGGTCATGTGTACAAGAAAGCTTCAAGTTCAAGAAAAGTGTAAGGAAGTGAATCCTAATTATATTATAGTTGGGCCTTAATTTAAGTAGCAACCAAAATATTTATTAAGTAGGTATTATGTGTGAAATACTATGGAGGATGTTAAAAGGATTAAGGTACGATCTCTGTTTTGCAGAACTTATCTAATTGAATACATAAAGTATAAACACATGAAGAGTTTTATATCCCAGCAGATTCTGAGCAGTCATGGGGGAGATGTTCTCAAGGTTAAAGGAACAGTATGTCCTGAATGCTCTTGTGCCTTAGTGATTATAGAGGAGAATGAGAAGGTAGGGCTCAGACACACACCTCCTCCTCCTCCCTTTTAGCTGTCCCTCTTTTTTTTCTGCAGGTATCTCCACACCTCCATACCTCCATACCTTTGCTTGGGTAGTTTTCTCTCCCCTGTGATGCTTTTGATCTTGAGTCATCCCGCACATCCTTCAAGACCAGCTCAAATGTCTCATTCCTTGTGAGGTTCTCTGTGTCCCCCTATTCATAATAAATCCTCTTTCGGGGGCTCTCACTGTGGCTTGCTCACATTTCTGTCTTAGCACACCATTGTGTTCTCTCAGCTTCCAACAGTGCTTGGTCACGAAAGGAAATATTTGTTGAGAGGATGTCCTGCCGTCTCCAGATTTTCACCGTTCCATGTTTAGCCCAGTGAACTGGGGAGACAATAGATGGACAGATTTACTATTAGAGAACCATTAGATTTCACACTAATTCTCTTTACAAGAGAAAGCTCATCTTGGTTCCTTTGATTAATTCTCTACTCTAGGAATGATAACAGCAGTTGAAAATTATTAAGCTAGTATTATAGTTTTAAGAAAATGAGAAGAAAGCTTATAAGCTAAAAAGATTTCTGTATGCATCCATGATAAATGTTTTAGAATATATTAAGAAAACATGGAAAATTTAAGGGGCTGGCCCCGTGGCCGAGTGGTTAAGTTTGCACGCTCTGCTGCAGGTGGCCCAGTGTTTCGTTGGTTCGAATCCTGGGCACGGACATGGCACTGCTCACCAAACCACGCTGAGGCAGCGTCCCACATGCCACAACTAGAAGGACCCACAACGAAGAATATACAACTATGTACCGGGGGACTTCGGGGAGAAAAAGGAAAAAAATAAAATCTTTATTAAAAAAAAAAAAGAAAACATGGAAAATTTAAGTATTTGGAACCATTTATAAACAAGGAAATAAAGTCAACCATAATTCCACCACCCAGCAATAGCTACTATTCACAACTTCATGTATTTCCTGCCAGTATTTTTACTATGTATATAATTTCCCCCCACAAATTAGGATCATGTTGTATATATTGTTTTTCAGCCTGCATTTTCCACTTGTCATAAACATTTTTCCAGGTCAATTATAGGATTTGTAATGCTGCCTAGAAATCCATTATAAAAATGGACCATAATTTACTTTACCTAAACACAAGTAATGGACCTTCAGATCGTTTTGAATCCTTTTACTACTATTTTAGCACTGCAGGTTACTATCTGTCTACATAATTTTTTTGGCTTATATACGATTGTTTAAGATAAATTCCTATAAATGGATTTTTGGACCAAAGATATATACATTTTGGTTATATTTATTCTTTTGTGAACTCTGTTTTCTTTATAATTTTTTTCTACTGGGATGCTTAAGTTTTTCTTATCTAACTTATAAGATCTTTAAATACTGTTTTTCCAATATTTATTTTGTAGTAAATAAACTCTTATTAACATAAATAGCAATAGAAAGAACTGTTTGTCCTCAAGAAGAGAAAGGTAAGAAGTGTTCTAACAGTGGCAATCTGGTATGAAAAGGACTGACCACGGATTTTCAGTGAAAAATGATTAAGAGAAAATCTGTATAGATTGCAGCGCTTATCAACCTAAACCCTATTCTTCCCTCAATGGAGATGACTACTACCTTATTGATCTAAGATCCAGCCCAGTGATTCTAAGCTCTGCCTCTCTAAAGACAACATAGCATTGATGCCCAGAAAGATGTCAGCAAGTCTTGTCTGAAAAAAGTCATTTAGCAAACATTACTTTTGTGTTTCATAGTGCAACGCAAAGCAAAAGAACAGGAGGAACGTGCTATGGAACAGGAACGCATAAATGAAGGTCTTAAAGAGCTTAACCGTGAAGAGAAGGAGAATTTTGCAAGGTATGATTTTTTTCTTTATTATTATTTACTACCTAAAAAACTATGGAGATTTTTACATAGAGAGGGGACGATGTGCCATAGTTCACATATTATCGATGTTATTTTACATCAGTATTACATTTGTCCTAAAAGCTCAAGTCAGTTTACAAAATTTCGTATAAAAGTAAGCACCAACCATCTTGGTAAAATCAAATTCTGTTGCCATTGTGTGCTTTCTGATTATACATATTAGGTATTGAATTAGATGTACATCTTAAAAAATAAAATAAATTAGAAACAATTTTTATGAAATAGGCACCAACCTTAGATCCTAATGAAATAAGATTTTTTCCCCCATGAAATAAATTCTGAAATACAGTGTGACCTAATTAGTTAAGATTAGCAGAAATGGCTTATGGGGATATGATTCCATGCAAATGTCCCCAGGAGGAGTTGTGTAGCTTCACTGGGCTGGAAAACTGAAATGCTCTGGGTGCTTTGGGAAATTCCACTGCCCTCCTCTGACAGGTGTCCCTCTGATCACCACAGTCAGGCTCAAGTGGAGGAAACAGGCAGGCCCCTCCTTGTGGCCTTTCTCAGACTATAGTAATCCTTTTCCCCTGATGGCCATGGCACCCAATTCAGGAAACCAGTGTGGCCGAGGAAGAGGACCCATCTCCTCTGATTGCTAGTCACCCTCCCTGTCCCTGGGGCCTGTCCCCTGACTCACCCACACTTGGTGCATAGAGATAAGCTCTTTTCTTACTAGAAAGAGTATGGTTTATGTACCTGGGGCTATTGTCAGTTAGGTGCATTAACAATGTCTAGCCTACGCTACTGACTTCCTGCTACTGCTTCTCTGGAGGTGTTTCCTTTCTGTTTTTGAATAGTCTGTTATTGGAGAGGTGAGGGAACTTAATGGATAGTAACTGTCTTCCCTGCCCAACTTCTGAATCAACCGAGAGATAAAAAAAAAAAGTGTGGGCCGAAGGTATTACAGGTACCTATTGGTGCATAACAAAACACCCCAAAATTTGTGGTTTAAAGTGAGTTTTGATTGTCTTTCACGAGTCTGTGGTTGACAAGGCTCAGCTGGTTGGTTCTTGCTTGGGATCTTTCATGTGGTTCGAGTCAGATGTTGGCTGGGGCTACATTCATCTGAAGGCTCAACTGGAGTGGACACCTAAGAGACCTACTCATATAGCTGTCAGTGTGTGCTGACTGTAGTTGGGAACCCATTCTGGTGTTATCAGCCTGAACATCTACATGTGGCCTCTCCATGTGGCTTGGGCTTCTCACAGTGCAGTGGCTGGTTCTGAGATGGAGCTTCAGTAGCAAGCCATTTCAAGAGATAGGAGGATGAAATTTCCAGGCCAGTTAAGGGCTACACCTGTGACTAGCATGGCATCACTTCTGTCATATTCTTTTGCTGGTAAAAAGGGCCCATCCAGATCCAAGGGGATGGAGAAATAAGCTCCACCTCTTGATAAGGGGAGTAGAGGTTCACATTGCAGAAGAGTGTGTGGGAGAGGAGATATTACTGTGGTCATCTTTGGAGAACAGAATCTGCCACAGAGGTACATGCATTCTATAATCTTTATTTCTGATAAAAGCTGATATTAAAATGTAGCTTACTGATTGTAAAATGGTGCAACTGCTATGGAAAACAGTATGAAGTTTCCTCAAAAAGTTAAAAATAGAATGACTATATGATCCAGCAATCCTGCTTGTGAGGATATATTGAAAATAATTGAAGGCAGGGCCTTGAAGAGATATTTGCACAGCTGAATTCATAGCAGCACTATTCACAATAGCCAAGAGGTAGAAATAACCCAAATGTCCGTTAACAGATGCATGGATAAACAGAATGTGGTATACATATAAAATGGACCATCAGCCTTAAAAAGGAAGGAAATCCTGTCAGATGTTACAGCATGGATGAACCTTGAGGACATTATGCTAAGAGAAATAAGCCAGTCACAAAAAAACAAATACTGTATGATTTCACTTACCTGAGGTACCTGGAGTAGTCATATTCATAGAGACAACAAATGGAATGGTGATGACTAAGGCGTAGGGGGAGGGGGCAACGGGGAGTTACTTATGGGTGCAGAGTTTCTGGAGAAAGATGAAAAAGTCCTGGAGATCTGTTTCACAGCAATGTACTTAACACTACTAAACTGTTTACTTAAAAATTGTTAAGATGGCAGATTTTATATTATGTTTTTTTTACCACCATAAAAAAAAGTCACACTATAAATTTTAAAATGTGTCTTATATTTGGAGGAAATTGTCTAGTTAATACTGAATAGAATGAAGCAAACTAGCCCACCCAGCCACCAGCAATGTCACACCACTGCAGGCCTCCCCTGCAGGGCCATGGCCCTCTGACAGAGAGCAGAGGGGAAAACAGGCAGACTAGCCTGTTCCCAATAGGTAAGTCCCCTCTTCCTTAGAGAGGAGCGAGAGAGGGAGTGGAGAGAGGCAAGGACTCTCTCCACAAAGTAATCAATGTTTTGAGTGTGGAAGAATTCCCTCCCTAAAATCAATATTTCTTCTAAGATTATCTTAATTCTTATTATGTAATAAACACATTATTGAATTTTTTTATCTATTTCTTCTTCACTCACTCTGCTTTTAATGGGAATTTTAATTTGACCTCACAAGTTACATTTTAATTTTAATGCCCTAAGTAAATCCAAATGCTTACTTTTATAATTGGATACTTTGTCATTTCTAACACTTTAGACGCTCCAGTTTAGTCCAGGAGTACAGGAGGCAACTTCAGATGCAGATGTCCTACCAGCAGCAGGCCCGGGAAGCAGAGAAGGAAGAGGAACGCCGAGAGTTTGAAGCAGGGGTGGCAGCAAACAAGCTTTGCCAGGACAAGATCCAGGAGGTCCTGTCTGTCCACCACGTGCTGCCCCGAAACATTCATCCCATGCGGAGGGGGTGCCCGAATAAGCTGCCACCATAGTTTCATGAGCATCAATATTGATTTTCTCAGTCTTTTAATATTTTTAACTACAGTATGCTTGTATGTTCCTTTTAACTCATGGATAACTTTTTTCCTCAGAGTTTGCATAATTATACATAATTTTCTTCCTTCAAATTAAACTTTGTTCCTTTTTTAGATTTTATAGACTTAGGAATCTGAATGATGTACTTCATATCACACAGTTATTTTCCTGACTTACCCCATGCCTCCCTTTCTTGTTCATTTATTAAGAGCTACACTTTCTTCCATCTGTCTACCAATATGCCTATTCCCTGTTGCCTCCTTTCTCTTCTCCCTCATATAAGTAATTCACAATATTAGCAGGGCATTTTTGCAGACAGAGCTGGGACTGGCCGCCATTTTCATTAACCCACTTATTCAGTCGTTAAAAAAATATTTACTGAATGCCGCCCCTGTGCTAGACACTATTCTGGATACTGAGACTTCAGCAAGAACTAAACAAACCTCTTGCTTTCATGGAGCTTACATCCTAGTGGAGGAAACTAGGAGATGAATGTTAAGTGCCATAAAACAGGAAATGGCAGGAGTGCTATTTTATTTTATATGTGGTGGTCAAAAAAGATCTCTTTGAGCAGCTGGTATTTAAATGAACCAGCCATATGGTTATCTGGGGGGAAACATCCCAGGCAGAGAAGAGAGCCAGTGGAAGAGCCCTGGGGCAGAAGTCTGCTTAGTGTGTCTGCTGGAGTAGAGTGAGGAGAGACACGTAGAAGATTAATCAGAAAGGTAGTGGGGGCCTGATGATGTCAGTCCTTGGGAACATGGTAAAGACCGGCTTTTATGTGGCTATAGGAAGCTGTTATAACAGGGTTTTGAGCAGAGGAGCAACATGATATGATGTAAGAGGGTTGCTGGCTGCTAGGGTGAGAGTAGACTTCAGGGAGACTGAAACAGGGGTTCAATTAAGAAGCAAACACAGTAACCCAGGTGAGAGGTAACAGTAGTGTGGTAGCCAGTCTCCAACATGGCTTCTTGTTTTGTGAAGTGTCTATTCAAATATTTTTTCCCCATTTTCTAATTGGGTTGTTTGTCTTCTGATTACTAAGTTGTAAGACTTCTTTATATATTCTGGAAGCAAGTTCTTTATCAGTTATATGATTGGCAAATATTTTCTCCTAGTCTGAGGCTTGTTTTTTCGTTTTCTTAACATCTTTTGAAGAGCAAAAGTTTTAACTTTTGACAAAGTCTAAATTATTTTTTTCTTTTATGGATCATGCTTTTGGTGATGTATTTGAGAAATCTTTGCCTAACCCAAGGTCACAAAGATACAGCAGATTGGAGCTTTCAGCCCCACCCAGAAAAGGGAGAAGCTCCAGAAAGGGGAGAGGCTAGAGGCTGAGTTGTATAGAAATGCTTGAATAATGATGGTCAATGGAGAGCTCCAGTTGGTGAACACGTGGAGGAGCTGGAAGGGTGGCACATCTGGAGAGGGCGGCACATCTGGAAAGGGCATGGAAGCTCTGCCTCCCCCGTACCTTGCCCTATGCGTCTCTTCCATTTGGCTGTCCCTGAGTTGTATCCTTTATAATAAACCAGTAAATGTAGGTAAAGAGTGTTCTTGAGTTCTAGCAAATTATTGAAACTAAGAAGGAGGTCATAGGAACTCCCGATTTATAGCCAGTTGGTTAGAAGTACAGGTAGCCCAGGACTTTTGACTGGCCTCTGAAGTGAGGGACAGTCTTGTGGGACTGAGCCTTTAATCTGTAGGGTCTGCACTGACTCTGAGTAGTTAGTGTCAGAAGGGAACTGAATTGTTGAACGTTGGTGTCTGAAGAATCACAGATTGGTTTTTGGTGTTGGAAAACACCCCAGTTAGTAAGTGGTGGTGCTGGCATTTGAACCCAGCCTGGATTATAGAATCTATGCTTTTGTCTCTCTGCTTTACTGCCTCCCCACAATAGGTAGTACAGGTAAAATCAATGAATTAGAGACTTTTAGAGCTTAAAAACCCATCACAAATATTTTAGGTTTCTTTAATTTGCAAATAAACAGAAGCCCAAACAAATCTCCATCTCTTGGTTCAGCACTTTTTCCATCACATAACATCATCATTTCTTCATAAAATCCAATTTGTTATCAAAGCACTCTTAATCAACCAATATGCCCTTTAAGGCTTGTTGTTTGAACACATATAGCAGGAGGCTATTTTCACTCCATTTCCATCACTTTGTGGTCTCTATCCAAATCTTTATTTTTGCTAACATAGCATTTTGTCGCAAATCCATCAAGCACATCCATAAATCACACATGCGCATGAATACTTTTTCTTCTGTAAACCATCCTTCTGATATTTCAATTACCTCACATAAACTGGGCAAACAGCCTCTCAGAATATAGATGAGGATTTCATCTGATAAAAAAAATACATTCCTATGTAGAGAAGCCTCTGAGATAACTGGAAAAGGGTATTTTATCACACTTAGTGCAGGTCACAATAAAAAGATGTGATTCTGTTTGTCTCCTGTGAAGCTGTTGGCTGGAGGAGGGCTCTGAGATCCAACATGCCTCCAATGTCAATTCTTTTCTATAAAGTTATAAGACGTGTGTTTTGGATAGAGGCTGAGGGTTATTAGCTTAGTGCTGCCAAGCATTGTGATGTGGGACTTTTATTTGAAATGACTTGGTAGATACGGTTTTGGGGCAATTGACATAACATGACAGTTTCATGCTAGATTCTTGCCCCATGTACCATTAATCAGCTGTGTGATCTCCGGCAGGACTTCCTGGAATTCACTTTTCTTGTCTAAAAACTGAGGTGCTTCGAGAGCCGAAAGGGACCTGAGAGAGTGTCTCATCCAAATCCTTCGCTTTATAGATGAGAAAGTGAATTGGGTTTGGTTGCCTATGAGGACTTGGCTGCGGTTATTTGGTAGGTGATCCAGGAAGCAGAAGTGTCGGGCAGGCAGAGCAGCGGGGGAGGAGCCAGAACAAGAATGTGTTATAGGCTGGTTACCGCTGCAGGCAGCTGCGTCTCATTCCACCTGGGGGCCTTCTGAGAAAGGGTGTAGAAAGCCTCGCAGGTATGGACAGCCCAAGTGGAGGCTGGGGCATTTATTGCCCTAGTCCTACCCCCTTTGCTTGAGGGGTACCCTGGGGGCACTGACTCCCCTCACCAGGTGGGAGGCTCAGGAGGCTGTAAGAAAGCCCTGGGGCAAGATGGTACTGATACAGGGCATGTGCTCGAGGTGACCCTGGCGCCCTGGACAGAACCATCAGTGGAATCAGGTGGACAGAGGGGAGCAGCGACATAGAGCATCGCAAGGCCACGGAAGTTATGAGGACTTAGGATATGTCCAGCAGCACACAGCTGAGACTATGCTTTTTCTTTTTTTGCATATTTTCCATGTATGTGTGTATGTGTGTGTGTTTTTCTCCAATTAATTGCTTAACAACTGAGTTGCTTAAAGCAGGTACCAAGTCTTAGACAACTTTGATGGTCCCAAGCTTTCAGCACAAGGCTTTGCCTAGATCAAGGCCTCAGAAAGTGTTTCCTTATTTGTTCTGGAGGACAAAAGGAAATATCAGTGGCCAGAGTGAAAGGGTGACCATCAAGCCTTCTTTCCTATTCCTTAGCACCCAGACCTAAGAAGGCCAAGCAAGGCTGAAGTGGGATAAAGCCAGGGCGGAGAGACACAGGCCCCAGAAAACAGCTGAAATGGCCAGCAGCAGGCTGGAGCTGAGCGTGAGGAGGCAGAGAACCCTGACGATGAGGAAGCTATGCAAGACCTGAAGCAGGCAGGTGGTGGGCCAGGAGATGAGTCGTCGGAGGTAGGAGACTTGGACATTTCTACAGCCGCCAGCTCTGGACAGGAAATGTCTTTTAGCTTTAAGTAGCCACAGACACTGGCATAGAGCAGGGAAAGGGCTCCTTTCGTATACAACTCTCTGAGCACCGAGAATCCAGCTACCCAGAACTGACTGTCACCATCACCCAAGCAGACACCCTCCCTGTCCACGCATGCACATTGCCCCACTGCTGTGCCTTTACTCAGGGTGTGGCTTCAGGATGTCATGTCCTCCCTGCCACATGCCCCGTGGAATTCCACCCTTTCCCTCCCTGAGAGCTCAACTCAAATGTCATCTGCTCTGTTTGCCCCCCAGACTCCCTGAGGGCGCCCTGCCTCCCTGCTCACTCCCAGCTCTGAGTTCTCTTTTCTATCACATGTCACAGTTTAGCTGGGATCTGGCCTCTGCTTGCTGCTGGCTATGAGCTATTTGAGAGAAAGGACCCACAGTGACCTGAGCTGTGTCCTCCCAAATTCAGATGTTGAAGTCTTAACCCCCAGTGTGACTGTACTTGGAGATAAGGCCTTGAGGGAGGTAATTAGGTTTATGAGGTCATAAGGGTGGCGCCCTAATCTGATAGGGCTGGTGTCCTCATTGGAAGAGGAAGAGATACCAGAGATTGCTCTCTCTCAGTGTGCACAGAGAAGATGCTATGTGAGGACACAGGGAGAAGGTGACCATCTTCAAGCCAGAAAGGGAGGCCTTGCGATAAACCAGGCTGTTGGCATCTTGATCTTGGTCTTCCAGCCTCCAGAACTGTGAGAAAATAAATGTCTGTTATGTAAGCCACTCAGCCTGTGGTATCTGATATGGCAGCCCGAGCTGGCTAACACAGAGACCTTTCTTTTTTTTTTTTTTGAGAAAGATTAGCCCTGAGCTAACTGCTGCCAATCTACCTCTTTTTGCTGAGGAAGACTGGCCCTGAGCTAACATCCATGCCCATCTTCCTCTACTTTATACGTTGGACGCCTACCACAGCATGGTGTGCCAAGCGGTGCCATGTCTGCACCCGGGATCCGAACCGGCGAACCCCAGGCTGCCGAAGCGGAACATGCGCTCTTAACCGCTGTGCCACCAGGCCGGCCCCAGAGCCCTTTCTTATTCCCTTTAAAAATCTCTCGCAGCACCTGGCATATACAGACCCCCCGAAGCAAATGTTTGCTGAACTGAATTGTAATCCCCGAAGGAATGAGAGATAGATGGTGCCACTGGGGCCCTGGTCTGGAATCTCTGACAAACCCAGTGGCCAACCCTACTTCATATACACAGCAGAAGCCAGCCCAGCCAGCAGCCCTCACCTACAGCTGCAACATCCAAAAAGCTCTGACTCCGGAA